TTAATTGGCTTAATTTTTGTCCGCAATTTGGAAGCTACGTTTTTTTTACTATATGTAAGATTAAATAAATTCATTTTGTTTTCTTTTTTCATTCTTATTCATTTTAAGAACAGCGACCAGCGATAAAAATAATATCAGAGTTCGACGAAAGAAAAAAGAATAAATATTCATTCATAAATTAATTGGACTATGGATTCCTAAATGCCGCTATATTTTTTTCATCGAGGTTATTCATTCATTCTATTCAATCATAGCCGTTGGCATTAGCAAACAATGAGTATATATATACATGCATAAGAAGAAAATATTAGTCAAATTCAACATGAATCAATATAACGTTGGTCTTCTTGATTTACCTAATGAAATATTACTTATCATTTTGAAAAAGCTCAGCAATATGGAGGTTCTTTATTCATTAATGGATGTTCATGATCAACGACTTGACATTATAATACAAGAAAAAACTTTCACTAATACTCTCAATTTTGTATTGACAACATTAACTCATGATATTTTTTCGCCTACTGATACAATAGTTGATCGATTTTGCACAACTATTTTGCCAAGAATTCATCACAATGTTAAGTGTCTTATTGTTGATTCAATATCTATGGAACGCATTCTTCTTGTTGCTGATTATCCTAATTTAACTGAACTTAAACTCTTTAATTTTAATCGTAAAATTGTTTCACGTTATTTTACAGGTAAATAACGTTACGTATTGATCAGAAGAAAGATTTCGATGAAAAATTGTTGCATAGATAGACAAGAGAATAACTATTTATTTTGTTTTTTATTTAGATCAATCACCATTTCGACGTATTTTTCAAAAACAAATTACAGATCTTATTCTTGAAGTCAAAGAAGATTTGAATAATATATCAGAAAAACATTATACAATAGATGTGTATGGATATATTATGAAATTCTTCGAAAATCTAAAACATTTATCTATTCCTGGATCATATTCCTACTATTTTCCACCTTTGGTACTTGATGATTTACCATTAACTACCTTATTCTCTTCAACTCTTAATAAATTATGTACTCATGTGAGAAGTTTTGAAGATTGTCTTTGTTTACTTGATGGTCGTCTCAAACAATTAACTACCTTGATTGTTCATATGTATGAGATGGGATATGGTCCATCGAGAGTTTACAATATGGTAAGTTTATATTTTAGTTTAATCTTTTTAACTGAAAAAAAATACTATTGATCAGAGCAGCGACGGTTTTCATATAATTCCAGATAGATTCGTTTTGCTAGTTTCATTCCTATTTAAATGAACTATAATGAAATAGTCGTAAAATGAATGGTTGTCTATTCGATGAGGAAATATAGTTAATTTTGTATATTATATTTAATTATTAATTATTTCGTGCTTATGAGTTGATTTGAAGAAATAAATCGAATGATTGGTTTTTATTTTAATAAACAAACTGTTTAGTTTTAGTTAATTTTTTATCTATTGATCATGTATCATTTTCTACTCAAAAATGATCAGTTTTAAAAATATGACTGAACATGTTAATCTTCAGATATTTTGAAAATATATCTAGTTATTCGAGAAGTCGAGAAGAGATCAAACTTATCTTAATCTAATATTATTCCTTCACAGTTGCAATTAATCTTTGATTTTTTTCACTTAGTCATTATAATCATTTTTATTACTTTATAACATATAGAAAAACTATAAGAATCACAAATATTAAAGAATATAAGTGTCAAAGGCAATAAGGAAAGTGAAAGAAAACTAAAAGCAA